TTATTAAAAACTGGATCATTGGATAATGCAATTCAAGACTTTTTATTGGCTTAGCCATTATGGTATATGAGCCAATATACCATAATCTAATATCCGTACATTGTAACATCCGGTTTCTTCTTACAAAATAAAGTCGAGAAGATTTGTCTAATATCTTGGGGGCGTTTTCTTTTTTTAATAAAACAATTATTCCACTCGCGTTTGTTGGATATGAGATGATTATAGCCAACTCAGCGCTACTCGCCTCGTTGGCTATCTATCATCTCATATCCAACGCGCGCTCGTGGAATAATTGTCAATTAAAACATTTACATATCAACAGCTGTTAGGTACACTAAGTTTGTTTAAAAGTATAAAATGATTATCTGTAGATCATTTGCTGAAGTCCGTGATCAACTACATAATCTTTGCATCAATATACAGCACCAGTTTTCTGTTAAAAGCGCCTGAGTGATAAAAGGCACCACAACTCATACAGAACGACAAAAAGCAGAAAAGAAATATTGGAGTTGCTAATCAGTTTGTATATCACAAAAGATTAATACCACCTTAATATACTTTGAGAATGAATGCTGCTATTCCTAACAGTCGTAATTTCCCCCACCCCCACCCCCTCATCATGAATGAGTGGAAAATACAGCCATTTTTCCCGGGGGGGGGTAGTCTTAAATAACCGCACTGTCCAACCCAACCCACTCTTCAATACATGTAAACGCAAGAGAAATGATAAACAAACCTTGCAAAAAGTATAGTATAGTGAAGACCAATGTTTAGTCAAAACAGAGTCTGTTTCTACAGGTCTATATATCCTTTCCAAAACTTTAGTTATGTCATCACAAAACATTTCCTGTCAAAGAGGATCACAGTAAGGAAGTCATAAACTTTTCATTGACGTTGTCTCCCTTTTTATTGACCCTGTATACCCTAACATCAGTCTGCATATTCTCCATAATGTTCTCTATACATTTCCTAAGGTGCTGACAAGGAGAATTTGTTTGTAAAATAGACAAGAGCTGCTTTAGCAGGTGATCATTTCCTTTATTCTCATTACTTTCACGTTTGATTCAGGGCTGATATTGTAAGGAGAAATTAGATACTAATCACTTTTAGGGTCAAAAGGAATGAAACTCCTGCATAAAATAGTATTGAGGATTACCATTCTTATACATCAAGTGTGTTTCTCAACTGCAGATGAATGTCAATTCAAGGATTTGATACATTTAGTGGAGACTTCCTCATATAACCTTATTTGCAGCAAAAATGATGCCAAACATTGCAATATAGCCCTCGGTTGACCTTTGAGGCGTTTAATACCATGGTTTTTCCTTCTGGTTGATAACAGGTGAAACTTCAAACATGATACAACTGTTGTTTTTAAATAATCAGAATTTTTCACCAGCCACTCACCACACTAGTGTACTTCCTATCTTTCACTTTTGCTGAAATAACTTCAAAGTCCTTTGGGTGTCCATTATCTGCTTCAAGCTATTTACATTTAGGGAAAAACAACAATATCAGGTTCACAGAAGGATAACTTCCATGTCTGAGAACTAAACACAGAACACTGTTAATTTTCTTTCTTTCACTTAGCCACATGTCATAGGATACTTTCAGCACAGTTGAACACAGCAGGACAATTGAGATGCTTTGATTGGCCAGATTAGCAAGTTCTATTCAGCTAAGAGCAGTAATCCCGCTATACCTTTTTGGCAAGAGATACATGCATTTGCTAAAAACTTTCCTTGTTGCTCTCATCATACCTGTTCAAAATGAGACTTGAGCGGTTCATAGGCCTTGCAAGATTTGATTTCCTCCACTATCTACAAAAACCAAAACAAAATGTTGTCATCCACAAAGTATTTTAAGTTTTGGTTTTGATATTTTAACTTTTAAGACTTGATTAACAAGTTAAGAGGGGCATAGGGGAAAGTGTCTCATCAAATGGATGACAAAATGACCCCTCCAGGGCTGGAATCTGCACCTTCATATGCAGATTCCACAAATTTTAATGTTGGGTCACCATGATAACCTCCTAAAGACATAACATAGTAGCATAAAAACTTTTATAACATAACCAAAGTAAAGCGCGCGCTCTGATTGGTCAAATTAGCGTCCCCCATTTGCCCATGGGTGTACGCTGCTGATGTGAGCAAATGCAAAGACTATTTTTCTGCGCGCGCTTGTTTTTTTCTGGTCATGTAAGATTTGTTAAATAAAAGGGAACTCTTTAGCTACAATGTGTTAATGTTATGTTATAAAACAAATGGTAAACACTACAGCGTACACAATTGTGTTATGGATGCACTTGGGAGGTTTGCTAAGCACTCAAGAAGCTAGAATCGCTTTCGGCTATCGCCTCGAGCGACTCTTACGCTTCTTTCGTGCTTAGCAACCTCCCGTGTGCATCCATAACTCAATAGTGTACCCTGTGGTGTTTACCATTTCTTAAATGTACTGATCATAATTACCCTCTCATATCCTGCCTCCATTTCCTCCATCAGTTCTTTGTACCATGGAGAGGAGACCTGATCTTCTCAACAGCGCCTACAAACAAACTGCACATCCTCTGGTAGGTCTGTCAGACACTCGTACTGATCAACTGTGATTCCTTGACACTCTGCATGCACCCAGTGATCACATTTAACACAGTGAACCATTTTAGATTCAAAGTCGTCATCAGAGTAGCATTTATCACAGAGAGGACAAAAGTTGTTCTGTTGCCTTTGCTTGCCACATTCTTGACAATGCGTGAATTCAAGCATCCACACAGCTTCAGGATTCTACAAGAAAAAAGTTTTAAGTTCCCAATAATTAGCCATTTCAGATGACTACAATGCTCTATTGTACACTGACTAAATATGACTGGATTACTATATTTGTATGCAAAGTTACAATTTAATGTAGAGAGCTGGATTTCAATTTTAAAAGAAATTAGAAACTTACATCTCCAGCAGTTCTTCTCCCACAATTTTTGCACTGTACACATCGACCACACACCTTAAAAATAAAAATGGAGCAAAACTGATGAATGATACACTACTTTGTGATCATGCAAGTGAGGGTAATCCTGAAATGGCCTATTGTCAAAGACGCACATTTTGTCAACTTAAACTAGAAGTCATCATCAAAATCAAGAAGAAACAATAAAGTTCTTCTTTTTTATATTGTGTGGTACACTTCAGAAATAGATTCCATGATGCCTTTTGTCAGTTCAATAATAGGTCACAATTGATGTAAAAATGTGGTAAGAACAAAGAAGTGACACATGAAGTGGCACAGAGAGCATCACTGATATTCTAAACACATTTTGACTTCTTCTATGATCTATTACAGTACAGGCCCACCACAACATGGAATCTATTTGTTTTATTCAATAAGAAGGCAAGAAAGTTTTACTAATGACATCATCAATGTATCTGTCCTCCAATAGATCGTTAGTAAGAACCAATGAAAATACTCGTAAAATTCACTTTATCATATACATTTATACCTTGGAATACTTCCAAGACTACAAAAAGTGATACTCATCAGGGATAAAATATGGATATGTGATTCTGACAGCAATACATAACCTCTAAACATTTAATCACATAGCCTCATAGCCCATGTGAAATTAATTTTGACAGAAGTCACCATCAGAGTCCAAGGAAAGTTGACTCTAACAATAACTTGCCCTAGGGTTGTCAAAATGCATGTCAGTACCACAGAGTACATTCCTTCTCTGGACTCCTTTCAGACTACACTATCAAATCCTGACAGGGCATTCCATCTCTGTCCAACAGGCCCTGTTGTTCAAAGGATACATGATGCTATCTGATGGATAAATCTTTATCCTGTGGATAGTGCAGTACATTTTGTTAACACCTCTGCTGGATAGTGATTTATCCATTAGATAAAGTTATACACCCTTTGAACAACTGGGCCCAGATGATCCGAGTTACATAAATTTTACCCACCCAAACATCATCATCTCCCTCTGGCTCTGTGGGATAAAATGGACCCAAACATTCAACATGATAGCCACGCTGACAACGGTCACACATCAGAAGCTGAAAAAAAAACATCAAAAAGTGATTTCGTTAGAAAAACAAACAAAAAATCATAGAGTCTAAACAAAGGTTTAAACGTGACATATCATTTAAAAAATGTTGATGCTGATTTTTTAAGACCACTTATTAAACCCATCCAAGAACTTTGCTCCACAAACTAAAGCTATCATTCACTAATTAACCCTCCCTTCCCCCCAAAGTAATCAATGCTAATATTCTCCTTGCAAAAATCAACACTTCACTTTGGAGACAAAGTTAGCTCAATGGATAGAGCGCTGGACTGTTGTGCAGGAGGTCGAGGGTTCGAGCCCTGGCCGGACCAACACTCAAGGTCTTAAAATGACTGAGAAGAATATGCTTCCTTTCTGTAACATCAAGAAATGGTTAGATATTCTAGTCTTCTCGGATAGGGATGAATAAATGGAAATCCCGTCTCCTGCAGGGTTAGGGGTAGGAGACATTAATTTCCCACGCACGAGTGTACTGTGTGATGGATGTCCTCCCCTGGGGTGGGTTGGGTGGGTGCTTACAGGGCCGTTCTGAAAACCACTTCTGCGAGAATGCACCCTGTCTAAAGATTATTATCTATCTTATTATTATCTGTCTAAAAGCTGATCAATGGTGATATAATATCTTGATCAAATATCACTTAGTTCTTATTAACTGAGTGGGAGGTCTGTATGTGAGAATCTTGACCGAGGTCACCAGTACAGACCGAACGCAGTGAGGTCTCTACCAACACCTGGGCTCAAGATACTCTCATACAGACCGACCTAGCTCAGTTAATAAGATGTTTATTATATGGCTGTGTCTTATATATGCCAATTTTTTAAATTCTTTGTACCCTTTTTTTTCTAGACCAATCTAGATGCTGGTCTAGATGGGAAAACCTAGATCAGTTTTAATATTGATTTCAGCCAATCAAATTAGTGAATTCGGTAGTTCCCAGTCCCTGTGAGACAGCCATATAATAAATTCATAGCATTAACCCTTTACCTCCTACAAGTGATTAACATGTAACTTCTCCCTACAATATCCATACATTATCCAACAAACAGGTAGTGAGAATACTCAAACTTATCAGGTGGAAGTTGTTGCCTTGATTGAACACCAAATTCCCAGAACCTATTTACAAAGAAATGTGTCGCAGCTAGAGGGGAGAATTAAAAATTAGATCTTGGGAGTTAAAAGCTTCACAAAGTCACCTTATCTTGATATCCACAAACACTACAACTGCTGCAGTTGTCACAGCACCATGTTGTCTCATCTAATGGTTCTTCATCAAGACAGAATCCATGGAAAGGCTCAGAACAAACTCTACAATAGAACATCTGGGAAAATAGACAACAAGAATATGTAAGTACAGGAACAATCCTTGTAGATGAGCCACAGTAAAAATAATTTGAAGACAAAGGAAGCCTGACATTAATGTCCATTGAAACTACCAATCTACTCTGTAAAAGTAAACATAACTCAACAAAATTGAATGTAAAAGGAAATTTAAAATCCAACCTTTTCACTGCCCTTGCTACCACAGAGAAAACACAGTTCTTTTACAACAGTTGGCACACCAGCTGTAAAACAAATTGCAAAGCCTTCCTTCCATATTTCTTCTTCTGTGCTGTTGTCCTACATGTATGTAAAATAATGTTCTCAATAACATTTAATTAAACAATGGATCTCAATTAATTTAAATGCAATATAAATAATTTATTAAGCAACAATACTATAATTATATCTATTCAAAAGCACTTAACAATGAGTACGTGTACTGCAAACTACTAAACTAACAGCTTTTCCTGAAAAAAAAAAAAATGACTGAAGTTGTTTTTTTTAAGAATGACGAGGTTGCTACAGGTTCTCAAGAACTTAGGATTCTGTGCTCTAATGCCCTACTAATAAGCTACCGAGAACTCTATTTAAACAATTATTCGCCAAAGACGAGGTGAATATCATCGAATTATTCGACAATATTCACGGAACCTGAGGCGAATAATTGTTTTAGTATAATTTCAGAGCTGAACAACAGAGAAATTTCTAAAATCATAACATTTTAGTAATATTTATTAAAATTTTAGTTTAACATTTTATATAAACCGCATGGAGCGGTTTATATTGCATCATATAAGGAACTGCTCGACCAATCAGATTGCTGGAAACTCTTTGCTCAGCTCTGAAATTATACTAATTAAACAATAGAGTGTTTCTGTCAAGGAACTATCGGCTGATAGTTGCTCCGCAGAAAATTGATGTTCTTAAAACAAATATGCTAGTTTTAAGAACATCAAATTACCAAGGGGCAATTGTTTTTATTGTTCACCACTAAATTTTCTTCCGCGCCAACAGCTTGTCACAAATGTCAATAATTCACAACTGTACATTGGCTAAATAATACGTTATACCTGTCAGAATTGAAAAGTCACTGTTTTTCCTATCTGCCTAACTCCATGGCCATCAAACTATTCAAAACTTTTCATGGATGAGTACGATCAATCCAGGTATTTTCCGCGGATGGGCACTATCCATCCGGGTATTTTCCGTGGGCAGGCACTATGGGCTGATAGTGTCTCTCCACGGATGAACACTATTGCGTCACGTGATCGATTTAAACCAATAAGAACCGGAGAAAATTAAGTAGTGAACTATAAGAGGAGTTAGGCATCACTAGGTTCACAATTGACATCTATCCTGCATACTGATAGAATCAGCATTGTTGAAAGCATCACTTGAGTAACTACATGTACAATTAAAAGTTCTCATCAGAGAATATAATAGATGTACATGTATTGTTGTCTTTGATTACAATTCTAGAAGTAGCTGGTACAAAATGGTCCAACAGCCAGCTGGTTTCTGCAACCAACTGGCTGCTAATGACAACCCTACAACTTAAAATTATTGTGTACTTACACTCCAAGGTAGTTTGACCAAAGGAATATCAGCCACTACAGCTTGTCTCTTCCCACAGGGTGGTGGTTTAACTGATGCCACAGGCTTCTTTGTAGTTGAGGATGACGCCTGGTTTTGACCTTTCTTAGAGCCCTTTACTTTAAGCTCATTCTTCGTGGGTGGCTTCTTTTTCACTGTTGCATTAGAATCTGTTGTAGAATTAGAAAATAATACTCTAAACAACTCTACAGACTGAAAATATTTTTAGGGCTCCTGGCTAAAACTGAGGTGGGCAAAAAAAAAAAAAATGGGAAAGAAAGCTTAGGACATTGGGAGAGTATGCCCTCTTTAAACTGATCATAAAAATAAACATTTAAATCCATTTGGTTGACTAAAATAATTTATATCATGGTATTAGAACTAAGAAAACCGCTGACCTCCATTTTAAAAGCTGTATATGCAAAAAAAGGTTTTCCATCTGACCGAACAATACTAGAACTTTACACAACTCCCAGAAGTGATTAACATGTGAATTCTCCCTGGAATATCCATACTTGGTCCAGCAAACATGTGGTGAGATTAGTCAAACTGATCAGGTTGAACCCGTTATCTTGACTGAACACCAAATTGTCATAACCAAATTCACAAAGAAATGTGTAGCAATCAGATATTGAGAATTAAAGAGATAATGCTCTTGTCAGATATATAATCAGGTACCTTTGACAAGTTTCCTGGAAGGTGCACCTTTTGGCTTTGGAGGTTGAGGATTGATGCACTTGCGTTCTCTGAAATTCAGGAGAAAATGCCTCAGTCAAAATTATTCCTTCAAGATGCATTGCATCAAGTAAGACCTGCACTCTTGATAGCAGCCATTTAGCATTACCAAAGTATCTACATTCTTCAACTTATGCTGTTATCATCTTTTAAAATCAAAATTTAATAGAAATTCAATACGTCATTAACTTCCCCATAACATAGCCAACAATATTTCTTCTTTACCAGCCTCTTTAAACACAATCTTTAGACTGAAAGAATGGGTAACATCAATTTAAAAATTTGAAATAATCAATTACTCATTTAAAAGTAAAGATATACTTACACACACGACTGTTTACTGGTACCTGGTCCCCCAAACTTTGGCTTGTCTCTGTTGGGAAATACAGGAAATTGTCAGAAAAATGAAATAGACGTAAGAAACATTATCATCATTGTAATTTCTGAAACTTACATGCACCAGCGACATACACCACAATCATCTAAGACTTTGCATCCTTTGCATTGACCACAGCGAATCCGCCTTCTTCCTGGAACCAACGAAACGTCAGTGTCCTCTTTTTTCCTGACACCAATTTTCTTGATAATTTTCACAACCTTTGTTTTTGTTTCTCCACTCTTTGTTCTTATTTTCTTAACAACTTTGATAACTTTCTTTACTACTCTTTCAGTAGGTTCCTGTTTTTTCTCTAGCTGCCCTTTCTTGAGCTCTTTTTTGACTTGTGAAAGCGGCTTGCTACTTTCCTCATCATCACTTGAGCTGGGTAATTCACCATCATTCCTCAAGGCTTGCAGCCTTGATAATTGTGTTTTTTTTGCACATGCTCGTTTTTGCTTCCCTAGAACTGGTTTTTCAGAAGCTGGCCTCTCATCCGCAAAACATCTGCCTCCTTCTTGACTCGACTGTCTTGATCTTGGCCTACTTTTTCTTTCTGTATCGGGCTCTACACCAACTTCATTTTCTTCTTTTGAATGTCTCTGCATTTCTGCTGCATTACATGCAGTCTCCTCTACCATGTACACATCTTCTTTTGTCCCACTTTCAATTTTTTCCTGCAATTCTTGCAATCGTTTGGATTTAAACAAATGTTTGTTAGCTGAACTGGGTGTTTTTCTACTTATAACATCACTGTTTGTGGTTGAAACCTCTGAAAGTGAAGATGCATTGCTGGCCTGATCATCCATCTCTTCCTCTCTGCTTTTAAGTGAAGGGAGTTCGTCATTCTGTTTCTTTGTTTTGATTCTTTCTGATCTCTTCCCACAGATTTCTTTATCAATCAAGTGGCCCTTGGCAGGTCTGTGCAATTTCAAATTCTGCAACAAATTAGAAGTTCTACTATTTTTCACTCTCTGTATTCCATGATTTGTGAATTTAGCAGGTTGATTATGATTCCTCTCATTTCTTCCATTTTTTATCCTGGTCGCATTTTTTATACGAACTTTCTTGCAGTAAGAAGAACTCTGTGGCACATTATTTGGCAAGGATTCTTGAGATGGCACATCTTTGAATCTAAATCTAGAGCTCTGAGAAAAAGAACATCATTTTAATGGCATGGAAGGAAAAAATTTTCACTTCCTTATTTACATACTAACTATAATGAATTAACCTTTCGACCCTAACATCAGCATGCAGATATAGATATATCTATATTTAGTATAATTTCAGAGCTGAGCAAAGAGTTTCCAGCAATCTAATTGG